ATATATATATATATGTAGCACCCTTACAACCACTCTTAGAAACCCGAATGGAGGGGTGCTTGGGTTCGTTGTAGAAGGTAGATACCAGAAAGGTTTACCTAGATCGTGGATAATTCCAAAAATTACGTGTGAGCAGAAACACTTGCCTATTTTATCCTGAATAAGACCCAGAGAGATATTAACTTTTCAGCAACTGATTTGGCCTAATTTTTTATTTAGCTCAATAACAAAGAAATTTGACACTCATAAAGCAAACAATTGGCAAACAAAATGTATAAAAAATAACTTAAATTCTTTCCCCCAAAATAATAATAAAAAATAACAATCGAATAATACCCAAGTGTTATCGAATCAGATCAAATGGTACCTCTTTTTTCTTCTCTTTTCATCCAAAAGTTAATGCTTAGCTCCTTATTTACCTTTTACTAGTACCTCACATTAAGTTCAAGAACATTAGAAAACATTTTTCAAACCACCAGTAGAACTCATTTAAAATGCAGAGGGCCCCTCGTGCACGCACGCACACACACACACACACACAGTCAGGGTTGAGTACTCATGAGACCCAGAAAAAAATACCATTGCAGGCCTGTTCAGCAACATTGAGCACTGTGATATTTCTGACCTTCAAAAAACATTGAGAGCGTTGCAATTTCCTGACTCCAGAAAACATTGAGAGCGTGCTATTACCTGACTCCAGAAAACATTGAGAGCGGTGCAATCTCACGATTCCAGAAAGCATTGAGAGCATTGTAATCTGCCAGCTAGCTTAGCTGTAGCACGTCCTAGCTCCTCGTGTCTCTCGCTCGTCCTTCGCCCCTCGTGTTTTTGTCGCTCCGCTTCAGCTTAGAATCTTTCAAGCTTTTTTGTCCATGGAACCAAGTCTCAGTCTTCTTACTTTGTGAACTTCTTTCTCCTCCTTTTCGCCTCGAGCTTCGGCTCGTCCAGCAAATGTTTTTCTCCTCCGTCCATGTCTCTCGCCCTAGTTCACTCGCTCCCTCATTTCTTTTTTTCTCCTCCTCCTGTTCCTCCTAGAACAGTCACAAGCACCCGCCCCCTCACGTACTTTTAACCAATCATCATCAGTTACAGATCTGACTGCATTAACTGACCAATAAAACAACAAAACACATGGGACAACTTATATCAAACTCGAACCACCCTTTTTGTTCACAAAATTTCAATAAAATGTCACTCACCAAAACAAAACATATTTCACCATCATTAAAAGTAAACTTACTTTACATTGTTTATTATCAAAATAATAGCAAAAATCAGTTACTTGTGGTAAATGGTACTGAACTTATAGAGCGCTTTTTCAAGTCCCTCCGGACCCCAAAGAGCTTTACACTAATAGACATTCACCCA